CCCCAAAACCCCAAAACCCCAAAACCCCTTATACTGAATATCTGAAAATATTGAAATGTTAAAATTAAACATAAAATTGTTAATATAAATAGACATAAGATCATGAACGAGGCAGCTAAGTCAAAGTATTTTATACTGCATCTCTTCATCCTCTTAAGACAGAAGATGTGTTCGTCTCTCACTTCCCTCAGTTGGTTGATAATTTAATGAAGGCTTATCAGTTAATTTTCTTGGCATTTATTTTTTGCATGAAAAGTAAGGCTTAAGCTATTCCATATTTAACGAGAATGGACTTTAGATAAATACTTAAGGACTTTTGTGTTACATTACTATTTGATAGAAGATACCAATAATTAAGTCAACTTTGTACAATAGTATGAAAAACGTTAGATAGTATGTCCAGAAGAAAGGTATTTGATGCAAGTGACCCAAAAAGTCCTTCAAGGATTCATCTTCCTCATCTTAAATGAACATGAATGCATAAATGAATAAATAATAACTCATAATACTGAGTATCACCACTATGACTCCTATAAAGTCAAAAATAAAGTATGAGGTTATAACTTTTACATTAGATACAGTTATAACCTATCCTGATACAATTAGTCCAAGACACCAGTAATGGTAAGTATCACCTTAAGTGTTCTATAGTGAGCTAAAGTTGAATAGATTGTAAGAAAATAAGAATATAATCGATGATTGATAGATCCCATACAAAATCCATTTCCAAAAAGTTAGAGGCAGCTTCCAAATCAATCTATTCATTTGATTTTAATAGAATATAGATGTTTCAAGAAATTCTTATTTTGGCTTTTCGAATCCATACAAGCTAAACCAAATAATAGGCATAGAGGTAAATATGACATTGTAGAAAGCGTATAGATATGTTCCAAAGAAGACATTTTATCTGAATTTGTCAACAAAGCCGAACAAGAAAATAGGGAATACTAGTAAAACATTTTTGTAGAACAAAAAGCAGACAAGGAAAGTATTTCTTCTAAAAGATTCTCTTCCATGAATATACATTAGGGGTTAAAGAAATCTAAACCTTGATATAACTATATCAGCACTTCTTTATGCCTGTTATTACTCAGTGCTACTTATTCCAATTCCGATATTAGCTATTGATATCATGCTTGCATCATTTGCACCATCTCCTATGGCAAGTGAAATCTTGTGAGGATATTTCTAAGTATAAATTCGAACTAATTGTTCCTTCTAAGATGGTGTAAATCTACATCCTAGTGCTACATCTACTTTACTAGCTATGAGTAGAAATATATCTAGCATTTCCTTTTCTGATATCAAAGCTGAGAAGCAATCTCCAATTATTAAAAGACATTTGGATTTTTATTAAGTCTCAATATCTTCTATTGCATCTTAAAGTATATCCTTCAATCCATCTAGTTTCTAAATTTAGTAAAATTTCATATCAGGTTGCAACAAACTAGAAGAGTATCCAACACAAATGCCTGTCTCTAATTTATCTCCTGTCAACATCCATGTCTAAATCCCAGATTTTTTAATAAAGTCAATTGTAACATCTACACCCTCTTATAATCGGTCTTCTAGAGCAACGCACCCAATGAGGGCTAGGTTTCTTTCAAGTCTTGAAAATGCATCGTTATCATCTATTGAATTAGTACTTAATCTGAGATCAGCATCTGATACCGCTTTCCATTATTAGAATTCATTTTAGTCAAGTATTCTCATTCCGACCATTAAAGTCCTTAATCCTTCCCTAGAGAATTATTTAGCTCCTTGAATTATGTTTTCATAATCTGCTGTTTCCCTTTAAGAATAGTGAATCTTGGGCAGAATAGCATCATCAGATCCCTTTGCAAATAAGTAAATATCATCATTCTCATCTTATACAATTACACTCATCATTTTCCTGCGACTTGAATATTCTTAAGTGCTTAAAACCTTATATTTGTGTTTTGCCTATCCTTGAATTTAAGTAGTTATGTTATTATTTTTCAATGTAACTTAAACATCAAGATCTTTCAATCCTTTGAATATCGCAATTTCCTCTTAAGATTGCCCATATATTTCATTAGTTGTTATATCTTACTAAAGCTAATGGCATAGACTTAGGGCAATAAAAAGTTGTTTTATATTATTAAAATTTTCTTCCTTATTTATCCAGTGAGAGGGAAAGTCATCAAGTGATACAGTAGAATCTTTAAATTGATCTATATTCTATAATGATAAACTTTCTATTATTACCAAATATTGGAGCATACTACTTTTACCCACAAGCAATTTTTCTAAATCTCATTATATTCGCAGTCATTGTTCCAGTCTTATCTGAAAAAATAACTTAAACTTAGCCTAATTCTTCCAACAATTAAGAAGATTGAACAGATGGGAACAGCATTTGATCATTATCAAACATCAAACAATCATGTTAAATGAAATAAGTTTAAGCTATCCTCACAAACTCTAAGGTGAATAAAAGTGAAATTGGAATGAGATTGCTATATAGATAAAACTTGAAAATATCTTACTTGTATTAGATAAACCATATGAGAAATTCCATGAAAAATAACTTTGTCCAACCTTCACAGTTTACATCTTCTTGATCATCTTAAGAATCATCATCACAATCATCTCTTATATTCGTAGTAACATAATAAATAGCAGATGATACTGAAAGTATGATTGAGAATAGTAAAATAATGATGACTTATAGGTTTAGGTCTCTATTTATGAAGGATTTTTTATTTATTAGCTTGATAGTATTTCTCATTAGATTAGTATCATGTCCTGCTGCAATAATTAATCCCATAACCCATTTGGTATTCTTAACTTTACATCCTCTAAGAATTAGTTATTTCTCATCAATTTGGACTCTCTTGATTACATTTTACCGATTACTGCTTTGATGGAGATACATATTTGCTGTGAAGTTATATTAAGATGCATTAGTTGAATCACTTATAATTGACCCTTTTAAATTCTTAACTGTTTTTGGATCCTCTGGGTTAATAATCTAGTACAGCAATCTATCGCAAACTTTTTTAAGTAGATCATTCTCACCTTATAAATTTTGAGATTCTAAATAGCATAAACCTGAGGGACAAGAGCTTTTAATTAGAATCATATCAGCCGGCACTAGGTCATTTTATTCCATCAAAACTACTTATCCTACTTTGAGATGTTACCACTAAGTTTTGACAAAAATTTCCTTTTTTGCATCATAAACTTACACTTCTCTTTTATTCTCTCGTCTATCAGAGTTTTTTCTCTTAAAATCATCATGATACTCTATTATAGTAGTAAGAAGTAAAATAACTATGAGCGAAAGTAGCTCAAATGGTGTTCCTGAAAGATTAGAGGTTTAAGGAATAACTTAGAGGACTGATATTACTAAAAAGAAAAGATAGGTTGCATTTCTCAATTTCATCCACAATATTTTTGGTATGAAATTGAATTTGTTGTACTTAGAGGTGTGTATTTTATTGTGGGGATAGATCATTGACTTATAATTCTTCCTGCAGCTGAAGCATCATTTAAATGAACTTGAGTTTTTTAAGTCTAAGTCATCTGGAAATATACGAAACATGACCAATTGTCCATTTTTCTCATAATGTTTTGTAAGTCTCTAAATCTTATTAGTTAGCTGAAGTACTTACATCTTCTTCAATATCCTCATATTCTTCAGATAAAAGATAGAGCTATTCCTCAGAAAACTTTTGACTATTTTCTATTGTGCAAGTTCGAAGCCGATCTTTGACTCTTCCACTATCTTCGAAATCCTCTCCACCTTCAAGCGTGGTAAATAACATTTTTATAAATCTAAATAATTCATCAATCAAGACAATATTGTAGTCAAATATTTAATCTAGGGGTTTTGGGGTTTTGGGGG